AGGCACTGGAAGGGGCTGCCCAGGGAAGGGGTCGAGTCCCCACCCCTGGGGGGATTTAACAGCCGGGCAGACGAGGTGCTTGGGGCCAGGGTTTGGGGGTGGGATGGCAGGGTTAGGGGAATGGTTGGGCTGGGGGAGCTCAAAGGGCTTTTCCAACCCAAACGCTTCTGTGATTCCATGATTTACATGACTGGAAGGCAAAAGAAGATGTGCTACAGTAAACTGCTATTTCCTATAGTCTCACGCTGCTGACCAGACTTTATTTTACATTCTCAGTACCTGGGCAGATCAAATGGACTGCAGGAAAATAATTACGTGGTTACCTAGAAGTTACATTCCAGTTGTTACAAAGTCCTTCATCAGAACACATGCAATAATGAAAACTAAAAGAACCCGAGGAGAAATTCTGTGTTCCAACAGGAAAATACATTGCCCTTGTTCTTGCTGATGATTTTTAAGAAATAATTCCCAAGCTTCCAATTTGGAATCTCCCACCCTGGGGCTCCCAGTGCTTGATGCCAGCTCCTCACCGAGTGCGTACAATAATCTTCATATAAACTCAAACTTCGTAAAGCACACCAGCTGAGATACCTCTCCGTTAACCCAGTATTTTTTTCTTGCCATTACAATTCTTTCCAATGTGGTGACTGGAACTGTTTGGCATCAAATATGTAGAAGCCCCAGTCCCTATCTAATGTAATTAGGAAAACTCTTAAGCATCTGTTACCTACAAAACTGCGCACAACGCTACTTGTGCAGTGAAACCATCAGCAGCATTTGTTATCAACAGCCCAAGGGGTTGCAAGAGGGGAAAAAGCAAAAAAGCCCCCACAAAACCAAACCAAACCAAACCAAAAACCCCAACCCAAACCCCAACCCCTCAATTATGGCCTGCCAGGGAGCCTAAAGTATTTACAGTGGGACTACAAAGCACTTTGAAACCATAAGGAGCTCAAAATAGCAAGGGAGGACCAAAACATTCAGGTGGACAAAGAAACAGAGGCCCAGATAATATTTTCACTTTAATATGTTTTAGGATTTTTTAATTATTTGGTTCTATAATCGTTGCAATCAGCATGAAATCCAAGTGGTTTCTAAAATTAGAATATTAAATGCGGGGCAAATCTGGGCCAAAGATGCTTGCCCACCTCAGCTTCCACAGAGTTGCTCACTTTAGGGAGAATGTAATTGTGCATTAAAAGGAAAAGAAATAGAAGAAGTTGTTCATATTCTCCGTCATTAACGTGCAATGCAATTCCCTGAGGAAGAAGGAAGGAACCACATCGTGTGTCTGGGTCGAGATGTTATAAGCATTTAAAAAAAAAATCATGCCTTCAAGTTCTAGGCCTATTTGGTGAATTTGCCTCTTAACATGCAAACAGCCCTAATTCCCAATCACGATCCAAATCCAAATCGTTTTAGCCACCACTGAATTGTAAATGATCCCAAGTAACCGAAGGACTACTCCAAGGCAACACTGCACATCGGCAGCCCTAGAACAAGGCCCGTCCGACCCCGCAGCCCCTTACTGTATTTTGTCATTGGCTTCCCAGGCGTCCAGTATCCTTTGCACTAGGCAGCATTTCTGGAACAGCTAGAGGGGGGGGGAAAAAGAGATAGGAAGAACATTTCAGAAGTTTGCCAAAGTAAGACTTGTGCCTCAGGAAGGCGGCCTGAACCGCAGTTACCGGTGCTCATCCCCCCACTCCCACTGACCAAGAGCCCCACGTTCAGCACTTGTCGTTCCCAAGAGCTCACGTTTCTTCTTTCTCTTTTTTTTTTCTCAGAGGACCCAGGGAAAACAGTGATCCCTGTAAACACCTTCAGCCTGCTTTCGGGCTTCACCTCAGCAGTCTCAAGAACACTGCTGCCATTTCACAAACACAATTTTCATCACTGGGGCCCCAATGCAAAGCTAAAATGCAGTGAGGTAGTGGTAGGCTTGGTGGGTTTTGGCCAAACCTTATATGCATCTTTACTCAAAAAAGTAAATAAAAATGGACTCACATGCCCATTACATGAGGTGGGTGTTTATTTTGGAATCGGATGCTAAAAACAAACATACGAAAGCAAGCACGCGTCCATCCTGAACTGACAGACCATTATACCTAGGGACTTTTAAATGAACCCCATGCTCCTCAACAGTTCATCAACCCCCCCCCCCCTTGTTAACGCGGATTCAGGCTGAATCAATCAGCCTCAGATTTGTGGGGGACACGACCAGACTTACATGAGTAACCATGATATTCTCGGTCCTGTTTTCCGGAGGCTCCAAGTTCTCGGAGGCCACGTTTCCATTCAGCACCTCTTCTTTGCTTTCTAGGTCGTTAGTAGTAGTTTTCCCCTCTTGCACAGAGTGGGACAGAATAGCTGCTATGGACAATTCCACTTGGAAATGCAAAAAGTTATTCCATGTGTATTTAAAAAATAAATCCTGGAAAAAATAAGAAGCAAGAATTCACTCGAGGAGCATCTCCCTGTTAACAATCCAATGATACTGGAACGCTGCCCCAGTAGCTGTTTAATCAGCGATTCCACTAAAACAAGGTTACTGCTATGCCTCAGTGCCCGCTTATCGCTGCCCGTGCTCTGCTGTCACGGGCACCTTCCTAGAAACCGAGCCCACGGGGAATCCTCCCGTACACATCCGGGGCTCACAGCACAGGCACACTGAAAAACACGGCGTCTATTCTGCGGCTGACTTACTCATATGAAAAATATTCACTAAGTGCACAGGAAGGGGCTTTGCCAACCCAAACGATTCTGTGATTCTATAATTTCTAAGTACAAAAATAATTTTCTGGAAGACTGTCCTGGTTATATCAGCAGTTTTCAGACCATGTCCCTGCTCACAGCTGGACAAAAAGAGCAGCCCTCAGCGTCAGGGGAGCTGACACACACAACGCACCCAAGCTTTCTCCTTAACCCGGCTATTTTGCGTACACACTCCTGAACCACTGTAACATCAAATCTGAAGCATGGGGTTTGGTTCAGAACACTGAGCAGCTGCATGTGTATCGCAAGGGCTGTTCTGAGGGTGGATGTTCCTGCTTTGAGCAGGTTATAAAAATAATTAGAGGCTGGCACACATGGAACGAACTACCTCGCACCGAACAGATGAAAGGGAAAGGAAGTGGAAGGGGTTGCCCCGAGAGGGGGTGGAGGCCCCATCCCTGGGACCATTCCAGGCCAGGTTGGCCGGGGCTGTGAGCAACCTGATGTGGTTCAAGGTGTCCCTGCTCCTGCAGGGGGTTGGGCTGGGTGATGTCTGGGGGTCCCTTCCCACCCAAAACATTCTATGGTTCTATGAAAGCATAAGTGGTCCCAGTTTAAAGTTCTTTCCCCCTTCCCTGTTGACAGCGTCATGCTATATTACTCACAAGTAATAAATCCATGGTACTGAGTCTGCATAGTTCCTGATTGATACTGGGAGTGTTTGTGTGGAGCAGAGCAGCGATTAGACGAGAGCCATGAAGACGAGCATTCCCCAGTGGCTCCTCCAGGACACCAATTGTAGTTAGGATTGCTGTTTTCTATCAGAGAAACAGAAAATGAGTACCCTGAAAAAGATCAGCGTTCCCTGGGGTGTAGAGGCACAATGATTTGGCTGAACAGCGGCTTCATTTCATAAATATTCTCTGCAGGTAAACCTAAAGCATCTTCCCACAGAGAGGACGGCGTTGTGGGACCATGGTGGGACTTGTACCTCCAAACCTGAAGATTAAAATCAAAATATCCACTAACTCAAAGTCCCTTTCTCTTCACCCCCTCGCTATCGTGACACAAGCCACCAGTCCCGATATATCTCTAGTTCTTGGTTCTACCCGAACACGATGGCTTTCAAAATTCCTACTGCCTCGTCCCCAAGCACCCGGACTACAAACTCCAAGCATGAATTTTTCTTCACAAGATGTTTGCCTGTTCCGGCACACGGCGCTTTCAGAAAACTCGCGGGAAGCCTGTGCCTCAGGAAAGGGAGACCCTGCCATGCAGGCCCGGGGCCGTTTGCTCCTGGGAAAGGCTGAGGGGCTTTACCTTGGGAGGGCTGAGCAGCAGCTGGTGGAAGTCCTTTAGCCGTGGTTCAATACCATGTAAGATGCTGCTATTGACAGTGTAAGACCTTTCAAATCCCTGAGTGTACGAGTCCATCAGTCCTTCCACTCTGTAAAGGAGAAAAGCACAACAGTCGAGATTTGAGAAAATCTTCACATGGTCTCCAGTCATGCTGCCCACGTTGGTCATGTTCTCTTGGAAGGTAACTACGAATATGAAAAATGATTTCCAGCTACAGAATACATTTACGTAACCACGCTATTTACGTAACTTCCCATCCCTGGGAATGTTCAAGGCCAGGGTGGATGGGCTGGGAGCAGCCGGATCTGGTTCAAGGTGTCCCTGCTCATGCAGGGGGTTGGGCTGGGTGACCCTAAAGGTCCCTTCCCACCCAAAGCATTCCATGATTCTGTGATTCCATGACTGTATTAACACATCACTTACAGGAGGATACTCACATAATCAAAACTGTGAAGAGGATGAGGGGGCAGACAGACAATAAAGCTGCCTGTGGAGCTGACAAAGACAAATCACCCAAGTGCTTCCTGGTTTTTAAAACTTCCCAAACATTTGCAAAGCAAATGACATCTGCAGGAGTTAACTATAAACACTTGTTAAAAACTGTAAACCCTCCACAAGGGTCCAAACAGAAGCACACGAACACACGCCCCGATGAAAGCCTGGAGCGGGCGTATCGCTGGGCTCACGGCCGCACCTCTCCGCTGGCGAGCAGTGAACTACAACCACCACCACTTGTCCCTTCCGACAGCAGAGCCTCGCACGGGAATCAAAGAAACACTTTCATTGCAGTACTGAAATGTAATTCCAGCACGGCAGGAATGGGCTCGAGGGGAACCCCTGAGCCTCCAACTCGTGACTCTTCAGAGAGCCCGGGCACAAGCCGCAGCAGAATTAGTGTCTCAGCCTTTGGGTGTTAACCCTGCACGCGACTTTCTGACTAGCAACGTGTTTGCCCGGTGCCACCGTCTGTCCTTCCCTCCGGTACCTCTTCCTAATCGTCCGTCATCTCCTTCGCTCTGCCTTATTCTCTCCTTTTTTAGAAACTGAGATTTCCAATGTCTCACTTCCTCCCCAGAACTCTCTTTTGCCTTTTCTCTCCTCCATCTCCATAAAAAGAAATAAAAGGGGGATGTAATTTTAAAAACCCAAATTAAAGCTATACAGCCATATATAGATACATACATCAGCACACAGATCCAGCGCGACGCGCCGTGTCCTCCCCCGCCCCGCTGCTGCCGAGAAGGCTTTGCTAAACGCGCGCCAGGGAGCCGGGGAAGCCCCGGGGGCTGCAACTGCCACGAGGTACAGCGGCTGCGTCAGAAAACCCAGGCGGCTTTTCTTGTACTGGTTTCTAGAAAGAACTTCACACGAGGCCAAAAAAACCCTCCTTTTTTTGCTTCGGTAAATCTAGAGTGGAGTTCCTAAAACCGTCCCTGCTGGGGCAGAAAGTGCTCCCTTACCCAGAGCGCCTCGTTTCCAGCAACGTCAGAAGAACTTGTGTTCCATTCACGATGCAATTTTCAGTCTGTTCTCCATCGAACATATTCTTCAGGAGTTGCTCCACACATTCCTGCCTGTTGATCAACACACACACGTTACTGGTATAAGAATTAGAAATATTTGGCAGTTGCTTTGATCAGAAAAAAATCCACTTCTGGGTTTTCTGGAAAAAAAAGGCTGCTTTTCTTTTTTTTTTTTTTGAGAAAGAACAAAGATTTTCCTCTCTAAAGCCTCATATGACAAGAACCGTTCTGCCCCACGTTTCTGAACCTGCTTGCTCACCCCTAAGGCAAGACCTGGTTGTACACACCTGGACCTCAACCCAAAGTGTCATCCAGGATACACCTCTCAGTTACAAACTGGAAGACAACTGAAGTGTTAACTCATCCATTTAATTTACGAAAGACGACATGTAGCTATTCACCGAGAGTCTAAAATTATCCATCCAAACGGACGCCACAAACGTGGCACTTGACCCTTATCCCGCCAGAAGGACGGGATGTCATCCAGAGAGACCTGGACAGGCTGGAGAGGTGGGGCCTGTGTGACCCTCATGAGGTTCAACAAGGCCAAGTGCAAGGTCCTGCCCCTGGGTCGGGGGAACCCCCGGTATCCACACAGGCTGGGGTAGAGAGGATGGAGTGCCGGCCTGCCCAGAGGGACTTT